GCATTGAGAATGATCTAAATCAGACACTGTTAGGGTATAGTTCATGATAGACCCAGAGAGGAGATACACTGGATTATCACCAGTATTAACATTGTACGGAGTACAATGTCCATAACTTTGAGGGATTCTCGATTGAAGAATTTGTATTCCAGTTGGTGGAATAGATGAGGCCATGAACAACGTAATTCCAGAAGGAATATTCAATGAAACTGAAGATACATTATTAGGTACAGGAATAAGAGCACTACTGGACTGTATATCACCAATCTCCATCGACTGATCAGTTGAATTAGATGGATGGTATGAGAGCCACATGCTGATACCAACACCAACTAATAACAAGATTAGTAAAGCTATTGGTACCAAAATACAGAAGGCTGCTCCTAAAACAAATATCAATTATTGTACATGTTTATACTCAATCATTTTATACCTCTTTTATTATTTTGACAAAGTAGAACCATTTTTTGTTTGACTGCAAAAATTATATATTAATGATAATATCAGTGACTAAAATAAGCAGTAACCAAAACCTTACTTTTAATACTTAATGTTTCAGATTCAGATACTTTGGTCATCATGAATTGGCCCATTCTTTCTGAAAGTGAGCCTATATTGAATTAAATAAAGTTTATGATAATAATAATTTATTCCTTACTGAAACCGCCAAAATCTTTTTCCAAAAAAATAGTTACTGTGTATATAATAAAATTACAAATCAATCATCAAAATACTAACCATCATATCTGTTAGTATGCCTGAATTCTTCAGCAGCCATTTTGTTAAAAGCACCCACCATTTCCCAAGGCCGCATCCTCCGGCAAGCCCCATCAATGATCTCAAGTGGAGTTGCATCAAGGGAAATTCCTTTTCCTCCTATTTTCTTGACAGCTCTACTTGCTTTTTGTAGATTACCAAGACTTAGTAAGAAATCAACAAGGGCCAGTCTAAGCTTTATCCCGTCAGCATGTTCTTGAGGTAATTCTGTAGCAGAGTCTGGAGTGAAGGAGTGAGCTGGATTAACTTTCAGTCGGCTAAAGGTGTAGTTGATAATCCCTGAATAGTTATCACTGTCTCTTTCCAGTTTTAGCAAATGCCCAATCAGACTTATTGTCGGTGTAGCACTTTGGGATTTTCCATTGACATATAAAAGGATCATCAAAAGGACTTGTGAATTGAAAACACCTAGCTTTTCTTCGATATCACTTGGAACTGTTGTAGGAGCAGGTGAAGGAGAATGCCTAGGAGAACCTTCCATGGTACTGAGTCACTTAGTCTACCTTTATGATTATAATCACGTGCACGGAAGTTATGACTAAATGCATGCAACACAAAGTCACATTCCTAGCTCTGCATTATAACCACGTACTGATGCAGCATAATTGTTATACTAGTCTATGTAAATTTTCGGTCTGGTGGTTCTAAAACCATTACTTCTCACTTCTCAGTACTGTACAGTCAATCTGCTGGTCATAAAAATGCATCATGTCTTCTCCATGCGATATATAATTAAGGGTTTCTATTCTGGGGAACTGCGGTTGTCTATAAAGATCAAGTAGCCACAGATTGACTGGCCAAGAAAATATGGGGACGTCTTTGAGTTTTCTCCCCAGCTAACTTATACAGTCTTATTTTGAGCTCAAAAAAGTTTAAAATAACTTGAACACAATTATACTCAAGTTTATATACTATTACAACATTTAAAGTAGCCTCATAATACTCTAGTCAAGTTGATATCTCAGTCAGCTTTGAATTTAGCTATGCACTATTTTCTTCTTTTTTCAAATTTAAATCAAGTATAATTCCATCAATTGTGGCTTTATTAGATTTCCAGCATATCCTGTAGCAAAGGAATTTGAACTAAGTAATACAGTAGGCTTGGTACAATTCACTTACCAGCAATGATCAGAGACAATATCACTTAGAAACTCGTAGTAGAAAGTTTTATCATCCAGATTACAATAAGATGAAAGATATTCCACTTCAACTTTGACGAGATGCTTCCATAATGAGCCATCACTTTGAGGTGATGGTTGCGTGGTTTGAAAACAATATAGGGAGCACAAATCCACTTTATTGATAGTCACAGCATAGTTGTACCCAGACTATAGCAAAACAATGTACATTAATAATAATAATTTGTATTTATATTCATACCATACTAGGGGCAGTATGATCAGCCACTTGCATAAACTTTTCTTTTAAATCACTCACAGAAGGTAACTTGCCATCTTTGAAAGCAGCTGGATCAGAGTAGGTTATATTAACTATTACACATTCATCTGCTGTTAAAGGACCTTTTGCAGAAAAGACCTCATGACTTTTAGACTTATGATGAAATGTAACTAATTTGAATTCCCATTTTCGTAGTCGCAGGCTTTTTTTGAGCAATTCTTTTTGAATTTTCTCAAAGCTACCAATCCCCTTCACTTCAGCAATGTAGCAGTCTCCATCTTGAGTTGTTTTTGATACCTCAATATCAAACTGCCTCTCCAACACATCAAGGACACAAGCAGTACTTGTGTTGGAGGGATTTCTAGGCTTGATCTGGATCACTTCCATTTAAACTCAACTCACTTCTATATGTTACAGTAGCTCGCACAGTGTGTTTGTGTTGTATTCATAAAGTATTCCATAAAAGGCAGCTAGGCAGTTTGACACAATATTTTTATAATGAACTTTAGCTATAAAGTCACTATTTGCCAAGGTATACTGACAAGTCAAATTTGGCAATCTATATAAGCTGATGATGATGACTGTGCCAATTGCAAAGGGTAAACAATTTTTGCTGACGTTCCCCAATAACATGCACTCATGTAGTAGTATAACTTACAAATAGTATTACTGTTTAATTTAAAAACAATAAATAAATAATGAATAAAAGATATAATTATTACATCAAAATTGGTCATGGCTGTCATACATGTCATCGAACATACATACATGTACACGGATGTATGTCAATTTCTAAAATGTATTATTGAATACTTCAATTTCCTCTAGTTCTGTTCTTTTTGCACTTAGTCATGATTTTCCCTCTCTGAGTCCCAAGGCAATAACCTGATGTTATGAGTAATGGTAACACAATACTAAGTACAAGTGTACCAATGAGGTAGTTTCTCAAAGCACAATAGTCGTGTGATGGAGTCTTGTAGTTATATTCCACTTCCACATTAGAAGAAGATTGCAATATCACATACCATTCAGTATTACTACAGCTCCACTGTTTTACATTGTCATTATGTACTGTACAGGAATCATCATTAGATATTTGTTCACAATCATTAGCAGTAATCAAGTGGGAGGTGTTATAGTGCACCTGATAGACGGTAATGTTTGTGATAACAGAAATGGTAGGATCATCTGTTATTAGTCTAACGTAATACTCAGCAGACTTATTAATCATGACTGATACATGATTTACAGTGTCATTGGACAAGCAGTATGCTTTTACAACATTTGAGCTGTTGTGCTTACATGCAAGATATTCACTACTCTTGTTATACACGACTAATTGTGCCATGCATTTGGAGTCATTTAAACCAGACACTGTTAGGGTATAGTTCATGATAGACCCAGAGAGGAGATACACTGGATTATCACCAGTATTAACATTGTATGGGGTACATCTAGTGACATGAGAATATGTTTCATTAAGTCTTTGTGTTCCATTTGGGGGAATAGATGATGCTATAAAAACCGTCACTTCAAAAGGATCTTGAGTATTAAGTGACTTTAGTAAAACTGAAGATACATTATTAGGTACAGGAATGAGTGCACTACTGGACTGTTTATCACTAATCTCCATCGACTGGTTAAGTGAAATAGAGGAATGACATGAGATTCTTATGCTGATACCAACACCAACACCAGCTAATGTTAAGATTAGCACTAACACCAAAATACATGTACAAGTGGCCACTCCTAGAATAAAAAATTGATCAGTCATGAACAATTAAGGGTAGTGAAAAGGCTTACGAGAATAATTCGTGACAGTAGGAGGAGTAGATGATTGCGATTCAGTGATTGTTGGTTGTTGTGGCTTGGGGGATTGTGCAGTGACATCCACTGGTTGAAGTGGTCCCTCACTGACTGATGTTTGCTGCTCTAGATTAGGATCAACATGACCACCTTTCTTTCCTATTATAGATTGAAAAAAATTCACGAATGAATGATCTTACTTAAATTTTCCATTAGTTTGGATGCTATGTCATTTAGTTCTATTCTCTTTAGCGCAGTAATGAGAGAAGAGAACATACTGTTAGGATCAGAATGACATTTAAGTGTTGCTAGTACTGAGGAGAACATTTTATTAGCTCTATCATAAGGACTGAGTCCAGCAGTTTCAACAGTAACACTATGATGTACTGCTTCAGGAATGAGACCAGTAGAAAAGAGGTGATTATTTATTTGTGAAATAACCGGAGAATTTCCTGCTATTAAATCAACAAGATCAGCCAAATTCTCTTTCATTGTACTATATTCTAATGGCAATAGATCTTTCTCCTCCTGTTGTGTTGTTGTTGACATGTTGATCCACTTAGCTCGCGACTAGTCAGGCGGGGCCTGCCTGACTAGCTCGCGACCTGTGAGGTCAGCAATTATTTTTTTGCTCAAGCAGCAAAATTATTTATAATAATTATGCTGAGTGTATAAAGCCAGCCCACTTAATATGAGCCATAGCTAGCAAAATTCCTTTAGCAATTACCATATCATGTGAGATGAACTATACCAAGTCAGCAGAATATTCTACATTGACTTAACTAGATCTATACCATAACATATAAAAACAATCATACAAATAGAGTAAAAGTAATTTAAGTCATTGGGCGAATTAAGCCCTTTACTTATAAGAGTTTCTGTCTGTATGTACGTTTGGGAGTAAGTTTTACATGATTTATTCTAATTAAAATGAAGTCTCTGTCAACTATCTGTCACTGAACATTATACACTTGAGGGGTACATGTAGTTTACAAGCATGCAGTGCATACTCTCAATTTTACAGTCTCCATTAAATGGTTTGACTCATACAAATACACTACCAAAATACAAAGATAATTATTGTTAAAAAGGGAGAAGCTTTAAGAGACAATAGTCATATGATGGGGTCTTGTAGTAATATTCCACTTCCACATTAGAGGAAGATATTACATACCATTGTGACAGCACCATAGGCGGCGGAACAAAATTTATTTTGGGGGGGCTGGACATCAATTAAGTTATTAAAATGGGTGTGGTTTTATACAAAATGGCTGCTAATTTTACAAAAAATGGTGCTAATCTTCTATTGTTGGATTTAGAGTAGTTTTCTTGTCTTTTTCTTTAAATAAAATGAAGAGATGATGACTGCAGGTCTAATTTTATTGATAAAAGTCAGTTTTATTTTCTTTGTTAGTCAGTTGCAGAGAATTTCTGGGGGGGCTCAGCCCCTCCTGTTTCAAGACTGGGGGGCTTTAGCCCCCTCTGCCCCCCCTGTTCCGGCGCCTATGGACAGCACCATTTTCTTATATCATCATTATCAAGAGTGGATAAATATCCACTCTTGTCATTATGTACTGTACAGGAAGCATCATTAGATATTTGTTCACAATCATTAGCAGTAACTATAACTGTAATCAAGTGGGAGGTGTTATAGTACACCTGATGGACGGTAATTTCTGAGCCGGGTAACAGAAATGGTAGGATCATCTGTTATTAGTCTAACGTAATACTCAGCAGACTCATTAATCATGACTGATACATGATTTATAGTGTCATTGGTCAAGCAGTATGTTTTTACAACATTTGAACTGTTGTGCCTACATGCAAGATATTCTGTTCTGTTGTTAAGCAAGACTAACTGCACTGTGCATTGAGAGAAATTTAAACCAGACACAGACACTGTTAGGATATAGTTCATGGTGAACCCAGGGAGAAGGCATACTGGATTATTACCAGTATTACCATTGTATGGGCATAGTACCCACTTGGAGGGATTCCTGATTGAAGGATGTGTTGCAGTTGGTGGAAGAGATGACATGATGTGAAGAAAACCATCACTTCAGGCAGAGTAATCAATTATTTGAGTGAAACTGAAGATATTGCTAGGCAAAGAAATGAGTGCAATCTCCACTGACTGAATAATTGAAATTGGGGAATGATGTGAAATTCCATTGCTAATACCAACGCCAACTAATAAGATAATTAGTGACATTACTGGTGACAGGCCTTTTCTAGAATAAAGAAAATGATACTCAATCATTATACATGTACCTCTTTCATTATTACCAGTGACAGTGAATATAAAATTTTACTTTTATTGATTAATATTTCAGATTCAGATACTTGATCATCATAAATTGGAGCATTCTTTCTGAATATATGGCTGAAGCTGCCAAATTCTTTTCCAACTTAACTATCAAAAATATTACTACTATTACCAATACTATCACATCTGTTAGTATAATTGAATTCTTCAGCTGGCATCCTGTTAAAAAAACCAATATTTCCTTAATATCATTCAGTGGAATAGCTGCTGTAGGACCAGAAGAATTCATCATGTTCACTTACTGCGAGTAATGTAACTAATGTTACAGTAGAGTGTTGTTTGTTATTTTACTAAGTTCACAGGTCTGCCTACACAGTGCATTCCTTATTAGGATAAGGCCACTCCAATAAGATTCATAGTTTCCCATTACAGAGGCGGGCCTGATGCGGGCGGGCGGGTTTGTTCATTTTCATTAAATTTATTCATTATCAGCTGTATAAATTGCTTGTATAATCAATGAAAAACCGCAATAATGAATAACGATGCGGCCCCATGCGGGCGGGTAATGGGAAACAAGGAATCAAATTGGAGTGGCCTAAAGGGAATTTTATGCACCCATTAGCTGGTAGCTATACCATTTACATAGTATGGATTAATGGTATACATGTAGTAAGCAATCTAGATTAAAAATACTTAATAAACAATCATTAGAGTGCATTGATAATACGTTCAAAGTGATTACTCAATAAAGTTGATATTTTATCCTCAAAACCAGCCAACAGGAGTGAAGTATGATCACCACTCCTCCTCCTATTACTACTCTCACTGTATGAGGAGACACTTTTAGAATAAGAACAACCATCACTAGTGGACGCACCCACTCCCTCAGAACTAGACACGCCCCCTTCAGTGTTGGACACGCCCCCAGTAGTTGTTGTCTCGCTGATTGTTCTACTGATATTATTTGAATTAGCTTGTGAAGTTGCTTCCATTAGTAACTCCTCTAAATGAAGTACTTTATCTTCACTAGTTAGTAATAGACCCTCACTATGGGGCAATGACATCATGTGACATCATCATAATGACATCATGTGACATCATCACTCACTTTAGTTTCAGTTTCTGTTTGCATTCGTCTAATTCTTTTTCTCGTTTGTTCAATTCCCTTTTAAGGTCGTCCTATTAATTAATATAATTAATTGAATAATTAATTAATTATTAATTAATTACCAGTGATATTGATGCTCCTAATTCTAACTTTTCCTTTTCGTCAAATCTAAAAATAAAATTAAATAAAAATTGTCACTAAAATCATATTAAAAGGCATACTTGTTTTTCAATGCTCTATATTTCTCCTTCAGTTTGTTCTCATCCAGTGTTAGTGTCTCTATTGTCATCTGTAGTGTCTTCACCAGCTGCTGGTGGTACATCTCTTCACTATGCAACTGAACCTGATGGTCCTCCTCCATCTTCCTATAATATACAATGTATGTGTATACATGTACATGTACAGTAATACACAATAATACAATAATAATTTATTGGTGTGATCAGCTATTCAGTGTATTGTTATTGTTGTTGTTAATTCACTTTATGATGGAGTCCTTCTCTTCTATTATTCCTCTCAAGTTAGTGATGATATCGTCTTCTCTCATTTCTTTATTCATTGCAGACACTCTCAGCTCTAACTCCTAATAAACATACAATATGTACAAGTACATATAAATCAGTAATTATACTGTACATGTACATGTTACTGTACATGTACATGTACATACATGTATACTGTTAATGACTGATGTACATGTACATGTACACCAGTCAATACACATGTAATACAGTCTACATGTACATGTACATGTACATGCTTACACTCCATTACCTTACCCTGTTGATTCCCATCAGTTCATTTGATTTATTGTACCACTTGTCAATCTCCTTTAGACTGTTCCTAGTCTGCTCACGAGCTATATCACGCTCCTTCTTTAACCTACAATTAATAATTTAATATTTTATTATTTATTATTATTATTTACTTTTTAATTTTCTTTTGTTTTTCAGTATCATCATAACAATCATCATATCTCATATCCAACTGCTCCTGTTAATTAATTAATAATTAATTAATTAAAGTGCAGTGTACAGTACTTGTAATGCAGTGATGGTCCTTGTTAGTTTCATATTGTCATTAGTTAATGACTCAATCTCTTCTTCATAAGAGAGTACCTTCTCCTCTAAACACTAACAATACACATACACATGTAGATATAGATGTACATGTACATGTATAATGTATTTCAGTTACTTGTATGGTTTGTGTTCTTTCATCCATTATCTGTACATGAGCATTGATGTACATTAATAAATAAATAAAATAAATAATGATAATAATTACACAAACTTGTGTCTTTGTTTTGGTGGCTTTTAGTTTCTCGTATGATTTATTTAAACGATTTAACTAATAAAAGGAGGAGGAGGAGGAGGGGCAGGAGGTAGAAGAGATGGTGAGTGTATATTGTACAGTATAATCTCATGATGTACTTCAGTTCTTAGTCTCAGTAGTTGGGTCTCAAGGTCACTGGTCTTCACTTTCAACTGTCTGTCACATTTAACTAACTCATCTTGAAGCCTCTTGATCTATCAATACACAAACCTTTACCCACTGGAACTAATGACACAATGTACACTCAGTACATGTAGTTTGAGCTGATTCCAGCTATTTCTAAATGAGCCAAATTCTGAAAAATACCCAAGGCTATAGCCCATGGTTTTTCCAAAAAATGGCTCCGAAATCACCCCAAATTTTTATTACATATTCTGATACATATTGATGTTCTTAAGCTGTGTAGCAAGTTTGAGCTGATTCCGACTTCAATTTTTCAAGTTACAGCCATTTTAAGAAAATGCTAAAATCCTGAAAAATACCCAAGGCTATAGCCCATGGTTTTTTTCAAAAAATGGCTCCAAAATCACTCCAAATTTTTATTACATTTTCAGATAAATATTGATGTACTTATGCTGTGTAGAAAGTTTGAGCTGATTCCGACTTCAATTTTTCAAGTTACGGCCATTTTAAGAAAATGCTAAAATCCTGAAAAATACCCAAGGCTATAGCCCATTGTTTTTTCTCCAAAAAATGGCTCCAAAATCACTCCAAATTTTTATTACATTTTCAGATAAATATTGATGTCTTTAAGCTGTGTAGCAAGTTTGAGCTGATTCCGACTTCAATTTTTCAAGTTACGGCCATTTTAAGAAAATGCTAAAATCCTGAAAAATACCCAAGGCTATAGCCCATGGTTTTCTTCAAAAAATGGCTCCAAAATCACTCCAAATTTTTATCACATTTTCTAATACATATTGATGTCCTTATGCTGTGTAGCAAGTTTGAGCTGATTCCGACTTCAATTTTTCAAGTTACAGCCATTTTAAGAAAATGCTAAAATCCTGAAAAATACCCAAGGCTATAGCCCATGGTTTTTTTCAAAAAATGGCTCCAAAATCACTCCAAATTTTTATTACATTTTCAGATAAATATTGATGTACTTATGCTGTGTAGAAAGTTTGAGCTGATTCCGACTTCAATTTTTCAAGTTACGGCCATTTTAAGAAAATGCTAAAATCCTGAAAAATACCCAAGGCTATAGCCCATTGTTTTTTCTCCAAAAAATGGCTCCAAAATCACCCCAAATTTTTATTACATTTTCTGATACATATTGATGTCCTTATGCTGTGTAGCAAGTTTGAGCTGATTCCGACTTCAATTTTTCAAGTTACGGCCATTTTAAGAAAATGCCGAAATTCTGAGAAGTACCCAAGGCTATAGCCCATGGTTTTTTTCAAAAAATGGCTCCGAAATCACCCCAAATTTTTATCACATTTTCTGATAAATATTGATGTCCTTATGCTGTGTAGCAAGTTTGAGCTAATTCCGACTTCAATTTTTTAAGTTATGGCCATTTTAAGAAAATACCAAAATTCTAAAAAATACCCAAGGCTATAGCCCATTCATCATTGCTACATATACATGTTCATCAGTACATGCATATACTGTACATGTAGTTCGGTTCATTCACCAACTTGTGTGGTCTTTTCCTTGAGATGTACTCTTAATGACGTTATCTCCTTTTCTCTTGTTTGAAGTTGTTCTTTTAGTAGTTCTTTCTCTTTCTGAGCATCTTCAAGATTCTTTGTTAGTAACACATCAATCTGATGCATCAACTAACAATAATAATAACTACTGTAATGTTAATATATAATCAGCCATTTATTTATCTATAAAGTATATTATACAATTATAATTTAGTATACTTTTACTAATTTTTAACAAATAAATTACGACAAAATTATTCATAACAATTATAATTCATTAACCTCCTTCACTTCGCTGTTACAAGAAAACAACAGTGTCCTACAAATTAAAAAATTATTTAAAATCAATATAAACTTTTCACTTACCCTTTTCTCGCGCTTTGGTGCACTATATCCAGTAAATCAGGACCTCCAGAAACTCTCTCCATTTTATTTCTTGTCCTCACAAGCTCCTCCTCCTTTAATTAGTAGTGGTGGGCGATATATCGATATTTTATCGATACAAACGATATTTTACGGTATCGATTCGTATCGGTATCGAAATTTTGAAGGAATCCGGATCGATACGTTGGCCACGCCCATTTATTATGGTTAAATAATATTAATAATGAAAATTTTAATAAGTTAATGACGTTAATACACACACGTGGATACACGTGCATGAAAACATCGATGAAAACAGTCAATAATAAGGGGTGTGACTCCATAGGTGTGGCCTAAATATCGTATCAAAACTGTATCGATACTCCCGATATGAGCTGATATCGATCGGTATCGTATCGAATCCATTTTGGCCAGTATCGCCCACCACTATTAATTAGTGTACTCGTTACTATGACAACAACCCTAACAACCAATGAGATCCAGCCACGATTGTTTCTAATTAAAGCCCACCTACATACAAAACCTACCCAGTACATCAAAGGACTGGTATTTACTAGGATTCCAGTGTTTGTTGGACTTCACAATGTCAGTACACCTAGTACGGACACTGGTTCTATTGTACATCAATACTCTTAACGGTGAGAGGATTCTAAAATGTCCTGCAGTTATAATAATCTATAAAATTTGTTTATTTTCCTTCTTTAGGTGTTTGGTCTGATTCTGTTAGTGGTCATTTGGAAAAAGGAAAGAAGTTGCTTCAAGATGGCAACTTACCAGAAGCACTTGAGCAGTATAATCTAGCAGTGGGTGCGTTGTTATTAATTAATAATAATCAATAATAATTAATAATGAATTGGTGTTAATTTTATCACCTCATTTGCAACAGCTGGTGTTGTATGTTAATTTGAATTAAAAGTACTATTAATTTATAATTTTAAAATGTCTAATTCTCATTGTTCTTATTTTAGCGGGTGACCCATCAAATTATTTAACGTACTTCAAGAGGGCAGCAGTGTATCTGGCACTGGGTCAGGCTAAGAAGTCACTGCCTGATCTTGGGAAAGTATTGGAACTGAAACCTGACTTCCACCAGGTAATGTATTAACTATTATAAATTATTAATATTGGCTGAGTTTTATTTGGTGATATTTGCAATTTGCAAGTTAAATTGTTAGTATATTAAAACCATGTACATTCTTAATAATGGACGTGTACTAAATTAAAAACTGCTACTTACAAATTTACTGCAAAAATCACCAAAATAAAGCACTATACAGCATTAATTAAAAATTGATTATCATTATTAATAGGCGAGACTGGAGAGGGCTAACACTAATGTTAAATTAGGTAAAGTATCAGCAGCTCAAGAAGACTATCAGATACTAGCAGTAAGGATACATGTAACTACTGACAGGATATACATGTACAGGGTATAGGGTATGTAGTACAGTATTTACACATGTACACTGTGTGAGTGCAGTGTGTGTACATACATTTGTAATTTACTATCATTTCATAATGTACATGTACATGTAGCCATTATTTATTATCGATTATTTATTAATTATTTATTATTTATTGTTTTAGTCTTCGGAGAATTCAGCAACTGAAGAAGCAAAAGAAATGGTAATTTAAATCTTTATTAATTCATTAATCTATTATTATACGTTATACATGTACATACAGTTGTCAAGGTCCCAGACAGTCCAGCAGTACATTGAGAACATTGATCACCTAATGTCTAAAGGAGACTACACCGAGGACCTCCTCCATCAGTTACAAGTATCAATAGAACTGTCTCCCTGGTACCCTCACCTCAGATCAGCTAGAGCAGTATATTATGAACACACTAAGCAGTATCAATCAGCTATCAGTGACATCAAGTAGGTGGCTGTACTGGTACTTTTATAAGTGGTGCATGTACATGTATAGATCGTAATTTTGGAGGTGGTAAAATTTTGGCAAATTGTTAATTTTTGTTGTTTGGTGGGTTTTAATTTGGTGAATTTGAATCCACACCTTGCCATTGAGCATGTACAGTACATAATAGCTTACAAGTTTAAAACACCTCCATATGTAGTAACTGTACATGTAGTTGTGTACATGTAAATCCCTTCCCCCATTAGCTATTACTATGTACATGTAGCTCATTAAATACATATGCATGTATCCTTCACTTCATTCCTCCATATTCCTCTCCATTAGGATGTTAACTAAACTGATCCAATGTACAATATACCTGTCTATTATACATGTATTATCAATGACATTATACTGTATAAGACCTGCTACTATTATTATTCCTCTATCCATTCCTCTCTATTAGGATGTTAACTAAACTGATCCCTGACAATACGGAGGGTTACTATAAGATCAGTTCATTATACTATCAGTTAGGAGAGGAGGAGGATAGTCTGAGGGAGATCAGGGAGTGTCTTAAACTGGACCAGGACCACAAGGATTGCTACCCACTCTATAAAGTAAGGACTGTGTATTATAATGGGGTCTTTGTCACACTGTGTCTGTGTCTCTTTATTAGAAATTAAAGAAGTTAGTGAAGCAGTTGGAGGCAGCTAGAAAGATGATGGAGGAGGAACGGTATTGATACAATATTTTATTTATTTATTTATTTGATTGTTTATTTGTTTATTAGGTTTGAAGAAGCAATTGATAAGTTAAAGAATGCTTTAAAGACTGAAAGTGAAAGTGTTGCTATCCTCATTAAGATCAAGACAAGACTCTGTACCTCTCACACTAAAGTAAGGGCCGGAGTATAACCATTAACTAATGTGTACATGTAGTCATGTGCATGTAATTATTTATGTACATGTACTTGTGTATACATGTACATGTACTGTGATAAAAAATGAAGAATTCTCTGCTTTTCATTTTTTGGCAATTTTTGGCTTGAGACGCTGTACTATATAGTACAGAGACTTTTACCTGATTTTGGACCAACTTTAAAAATTTGTAAAAAAAATCCAATTTTGATCGGAATCAACTCAAACTTGCTACACAACATAAGAACATGTACACGTACATGCATTATAAAATGTAATAAAAATTGAAAATTCTCTACTTTTAATTTTTGGTAAAATTTGACCTAAGACTTTGGCAGATTTTTGAGTTGCGTATCATAATGTACATGTATATACTGTATCATTATTATTATTATTATTATTATTATTATTATTATTATTATTATTATTATTGGGCGAAGCCCACTAAGATGAGTAGAGTTTGTTTGTTTGTCTGTACACGTACGTATTCCGTATCTCCTCTATATATCTGCACATGCCTTGCAGTGCAATAGATTCTAAATTTCAATATTTCATTGAAAGTGGGAGTGGCCGAAAGATAATAAAATGGCTATCAGCATGCAAGAATCAGAAGTTTTCTAGCAGCAACATAAGGTTGAGATTCTACTTTTTTCCAGCTAATAATCTACGAGGCTGAGCCCTTGAATGTTCTACATTGTTTCTAGTTATTATTATTATTATTATTATTATTATTATTATTATTATTATTATTATTAATTCATTCATTCAATAGATCAGTTCATATGATGATGGTATGAAGTGGTGCAATGAAGTCCTTGAACTAGATCCAGAGAACATTGATGTGTTGTGTGATAAGAGTGAACTATATATCAGTAATGAGGAGTATGAGGAAGCTATCAAACTCTATCAACATACACTCAAGATTAACGACCAGTTTCAACGAGTGAGTTACAATACAGTATAGTGGGAAATTTTGGAGGGAATCAAATATGATGTTTTGATAGCCATTCGCCAAAATAAAAATCCACCATTTTGAGCCATTATACGCATGCTCAATGGCACGTGGCCACAACTTTGTCAAATTAAATTCACCAATCACCAAAATTTAGCAATTTTCAAATTTAACACCCACCAAAATTTCCCGCCATACTGTATGTAGTACATGTACATGTACTAAAATTGGTTCATCATCATTATTATTATTAGGCTAAGGATGGTTTGAACAGAGCACAGAACTTATTAAAGCAGTCCCAGAAGCGAGACTATTACAAGATACTGGGAGTGAAGAGGAATGCCTCAGTGAAGGAAATCAACAAAGCTTATAGGAGACTGGCTAAGGAATGGCATCCTGATAAATATGATGGGGAGGATAAGAAGAAGGCAGAGAAGATGTTCTATGATATTGCAGCTGCCAAGGAAGTACTCACTGATAAAGGTACAGTTTGGGATTTTGACTTCTAATTAGAGGGCAATTTTTACCAAGTTTTGGTAGTTTACACCTCTGAGTACACGTAGGCGACAGTTTTTGCTTTAAAATTTTCTAATCTTTGCCTTAAAGTAGATGATAGTTTTTACCTGAAAACTTGGTCATTTTATGCAAGCAAATAAGCTTATAATCACTGTCAGATCTGGAGGGAGTTTATAAGACTTTTGGTCTCCCATATTTGGTCTAGGTCTCCTGAAATCTGTCCCATTTTTCAGCTTTTGGTCTCTCATATTTAGCACTAGAGGTCTGCCTTAAGTCTACCAGTTTTAGTTAGAACATGTATTAGTAGTTATCTATCACTGCTGTTATTATAATATTATTTCATAATATTTTTAGAGATGAGATCAAAGTTTGATAATGGTGAGGACCCTCTTGATCCAGAGCAGCAGCATGGGGGTGGGGGTCACGGCGGGTTCCCTCATGGCTTCCCGTTCGGTGGTGGAGGCTTCACTTTTAAATTTAATTTCTAATAAAATTAAATAATTGATAATACAATCAGCACACAACATCTACAATAACAACAACAAATTATTGTTTTTACAGGGACTAAAAAAATTAATTATAAATAATAATAATTATTTATACATGACAATAAAATATTTCAATTCTCAAGCTACAAAAACAGTAAAACTGCTTCATGGCAACTGGAACTTATTGAACAATGCTATATTAGCCTTTCTTTGTTTGTTCATTTCTGTTAGTTCTAGTGTTGTGAATGAAATGTTGGCAACACTGAAAACTGCATCTTTTTTCCTGTCTATTCCACTCGTACTCCTGATCTAAGGAGCATAATGATAAGAGAGGGAGAGGTGCATGAATATCCACATCTCAATGTTTGCTTTGTACATGCATCAAATCAGTTAGTATTATTAATTTTTTTCAAGAATAACTAGCTGAAGGCCCCACACACAGGCAATCAACTTGTTGCTAGCAGCATTGTGTAC